TATTATTATTACTAATATCATTTCAAGTCACCCGCCAAATGTCTTTTTCTTAATTTCTTTTTCTCACTGATTTAAAAAGTAGTCTTTATTGATTTTGCAAAATCACATTGTGGATACAATGAGGTGATGGAGCGTATTTTTCTTTTTACTAAAAAAAAACTAATCGATTGAGCAAAAAATAACTGGATCAAATCAAATGGAAAACTTATATTGTGGAATATAAAGTTGAATAGTTACATTTAATTTCTTTTTAAATACATTCAGATTATAATGGTTATAAGTAAAGATGGATGATGATTGGCAGGGGAATTCAGGATACTCGTTTCATCTTATTTGGGACTTGTCAACTAGATGTACATGTATCATAGAGTTGATGTTCACTCCATCATTGCTTTTAATGCTTGTGACTTAAGATAATATTGAAGCACTCAGCGTAGGATGCACATATGCTAATAAGAGACTGATCAATTCCAGTCCTAAACATCAATGGAAAGATTCCAGTAAATGAATTTGTAATCGTTGGCTTTTCTTTTGTTGTTATTGTTGTTGTTAAAGGAATGTTATCCTGTTTGATGTTTGTTAGTTATACAATTTCAAAGTTCAACTTCTAGTGTGGCATATGTGTCCATTTGGCTAAGCTGTTATGGTGTATTAGCAGAACGAAACGATATAAACAACATAGATAGGAAAGGAGTAAGTAGGTAGTTTGGTAGGAGTGTTATTGTGAAAGATTAAGAGTTGAGAATCTGGTTAAAGAGTTAATGTGTCTAAGCCATTGTGAATAATTCTGAGCCCCATCAATTAACAACAATCATTGATCGTGGTTATTGCATGCACTTTACTCAGGTAGTCTGAATTCATCAGTATGAGTTAGACCAACGACTAATAGCTTCATGGAATGGTTTTATGTTTAATTTTGGCTGAAGTTGTCTGTAAAACTCTAATTCTTCTACATTTCTCCTCTATTAGCTAATATCGGCCAGAAAGCATTCAATGATTTACATTTGCACGGCTGGGTATCGAGTAACTGATGTAAAGGTTAAGTGTAAGCGTACTTTATAAGTTGAATCCATGTTTGGAGGAGCTCATCTATGGAGTGCTCATGAAAGAGTTCGATGTAGAATCCTGGTGAGAGGCATATTATCCTGCATGAGGAGTAACAGCCGTAGGTGAGTAAATAAACGTATGAACACTGATTGATTGAAAATTAGTTGAAAACCGTCGTTTATAAAAACAGACATTAACACTGAGCTATGCAGTCTGAGACTGAGCTCCTGTAGGACTGAGATGTATTTACAATTGATTGATCATTAGATGGTGATCAATGTCATTTATGTCACATCCTTCTTACTGTAGATAGAATCCTGATGGTAATTTTTAAATTATAACCAAACATTTAATTAATATCAAAAATTCTAATTCTATATAACACATGATAATTCCAAATCGTGCATGACCAAGAAACTATTTCAATATGAAATGAGATTTATTCGGACGAGATAGAACGGACTAATAATCCACAACACAATTTATGAATAGTTTATGGTAAGAAAAGAGAGAGAGAGAATTCAGAAAGTCAAGAAACGTTGTAATTTAAATAACTTCAGTTTTACCGTAACAATTATAATCCTGAAACGTAAATAAACAACAATAAACTAAGTGAGAAGCAGTGACCAGCAGATTTCAGTCGGGTCTGTTGTGAGATAGTAACTCACAGAAGGTAATGGTGGATATGTCGCTCAATCTTGTGGATAGGTTGAAGTTAGACATCAACACGGCTTGACGCTGGCTCAGTGGTCTAGTGTTGTAGCATACGCGCACGAGACCGATAGGTTTCGAGTTTGAATCCGAAGGGACGAGATGGTGGATTCTCACTGCTGAAGAGTCCCACAACAGAACGAAACGGCCGTCCAGTGATTTCAGATTTTCCATGGTGCTCTAGCTTCAACTGACTAATGATCACAACCATTGAGATTACCAGAATATCCACAAAGATTGACAACAACAAAATAGAGAGTAAAAGTAAACTTTAAAGGCGAAACAATCATAATCGAAAATGTGACTTGAAGATTTTTCTGCAAAATCCAAATATCATGTACATACCTAATAAACCGATCAAAATGCTTAGAAATATTAGCGAAAAATATTAATTACTTTGATATTGCTTGCTTGTACCTTCTCATTGATGTTTATGACTGAAATCGATCAGTTTCTTGTTTGCATAAATGTATCCTGTGCGTACTGACTAGATATTGCTTTAAATATCGGAGTAAACATCAACTCTCGGATGCAGGTATATCCAACTGAAGAGTCCCAAATATGACGAAACACATTTCCTGCATTCCACTTCTAGCCGCTATCCAACTTTACTAAGAAAATATGTTTTTGTTACCAAAGCGGGAAAATGATAGTGGTAAAGTTATCATGTGCTTAATTCACTCTCTTTAAATTGTTTATAAAAGGTAAAACGTCACCATCTCTAAATCATAACCCTATAACCTTGAACTTGAAACCAACTTTAAAGCGGAGAAACTATATTTCATGAACGAAATAATCAGATATCGTCACTTGTATTTCCGTGTATAATTCATGCATTCATGTAACTGAAAAGCTCATTTTTGCATTACAGCTGATGTTAGTACGTTGTAAGAATCTTAATCCTAAATCTTTAATCCTAGCTCTCAATACATAACTCTAGCTAAGAATAATCGAGGAACTCTTCAGAAAACTGTGTTTGGTCCTTGAACAATTCCGGAAATGAACAATCTATCTTCATACAGATGAATCAATATGTCATTGTCATTGTTTTTTGTATTTAAAGTAAGAATAACCTGAAGAACACATGAATAGATTTATTGATTGCATAAAAACAACTGGCTTACATTTTGCAATATTATTGTTTCCATTTCTGTAAACTATCCATTTATAAAAGCTTTCTTCTCATTGACTCAAATAACTGCGTGAAACTTTGTCAAGCCTCTTTTAATCTTGTCTATAAAGAATACTTTTACCCAATAAAAGTTACTATCAGCTTTGTTGGACATGAGAATGACCATCTACTAACAAAAATAAAGAAAGTAGTCAGTCTAAATCTTTCCCGTCGATATTTTATTCTTGTAGTTATTGTTTCTGTCTTTCTTCGTAATATGTTCCGTAATGTTGAATGAAAATTAACAGTGGGATTAAGTATGCGCGTTTTCTCTGCTGTCTGCCACTCTTCAGCTACATGTGCCTGCATTCCAATGTCAATGTTGACGCTACGACTCGAACCCAATATGTTTCGTTTCAATCGTTCAATTCATTGTCCAACAATCTACTAAGTCCTGATAACAACTGACTTAAGACTAATCAACTGTAGTCCTCAAAATATGTCAACAATAAAGCACAAACACTTGCAGATTTTCTCGTAAGTGTCTTTTACCTCAAAGTTTCGAATCCATTAGAAAATAGTTGTGGATTATTTTATCATAATTCTAGTGTAAATAAAATATCTTATTCATACTAGTCACTAAGTGATATTAACTAGATCACTATTAAAAATCTGGTTTCACACTTCTGAGGAGTTGCATACTAAAACGAAATAGCCTTCCAGTACATCCAGATTTTCCACGGTGATAAACATGAGTGGTTCGACGGAATTGTTCAATTTACAATTCCTGCTATGGACAGACATCAGTCAAATAACCATTGAATACTAGAAAAAATTGACTATCATTTTCGTTACAATACACAACACTGCCGTATTATTCATCTATAAACTCAAGTCAGTCGTCAAAACAAAACATTAATAATATCTCTTAATAAGTGAGTTGAATTGAAATCGTTGAAATGGTTTTCATCATGTCACATTCGTAATTTTTTCAATAAAATGAAGAGTGCAGTAAATATGTTGAGATAACATGGAATAAACGAAATGTGGCTAGCAGTAGAATGCAGGATGCACAATTCCTACTATTCAGGACTCATCGGCTAGATATGACTGAGTTTATTCTATACTGACTTGTGTCATTAGGGCTATATCAATACAGTCTTCATATGGTAAGCATATGCCGACGAAAACTGACCAAATTTCATGGAAATATCTCGACAATATCATCATCCGAACCATTTGAATTTAAAATAAACCTTGTATACGTTTCACAAGTGAGTAGTTATCTAGAATCAGTAACTAACAGGATTAGGTAATAAGATTTCAAACAAACAGCACTGTGTTGAATTCCTAGTATGAACAACAACTCGGATCCAATATATTCACATTCTCGACTCTACTTCCAGCCGCATTGTATCTATTCTATATAAACTATATATAATTGTATTCTTAGATCTTATTCAATAAAATATTCTTTTGTGGATCCCTATTGAAACAAATAACATCAGTCATATAATCAAATCATTCATTTGTAATCTTGTATTCATTCTTCTATTTACAAATTTATTTATTTATTCACATTTATTTACAAGATTCACAACATGACCTTGACATAGACATATTTCCTGAATAGATCAATAAAATTTCCTAAATAAACCTTGATAAATAAATATTTACCTAAATACTAATTATCCAATAGTAATACGAGAAGTAAATTTTCATTACATTTCTTTTAATATATTATAAATAAACAACTAAATGCATAGAAACAAGCTTACCCATATACACACATTTACATACATACATATACATAAATACATACATAGATAGATATATATATACAAAGATAGATACATACATACTACTTTACTTATGTCGCGGAATAAAGTTTCTTTTTTCTATTGATCTTCCATAAATTCAGTAAATTCTGATTGGAAGTTATTGATATATATATATATATTGTTTCTGCATTGAAAATATTGAAGCTACTTTCATCATGAGAATGATAGTGTTAATGGATATCTATCAGTTTCTTGTTTCTTTCATTCCAATACATACATACACACACAAACACACACGGATACAAATAATTAATAATACCTAATAATAATAATAATAATAATAATAATAATAATAATAATAATAATAATAATATCTGTTTTTCTCTATTTAGGATATCAATCATATCAATAATTCTTTATAAAATAAATAATATTATACTACTAATGATGTTTGTTTATTTATTTGTATGTTTGGTTGTGTGTATGCGTGTGTGTGAATGACTGAGTGAGTGAGTGAGTGAATGAGTGTCTCTGATTAACCCTGACTATAAAAAGACAGAGATTTAATATTCATTCCTTTTATACATTAATCATTCACATTATTCACATGAATATAGTATAATATAATATCAAAAAAAGAAAGGATTCTTGTTATATATATACATATATATACATATATATACATATTATCCTATTTCCTATTAAAGGAGCAACATTACTACTGATTATACTACTTATATCCCTAATGACAAAATGATATCATTACCATTTGAATATGATCAATTTATCAAAAATCTATTATGTAATCAATTCTTTATTATCTTTATAATTATGCAACAATTTATTGATGCTAAATCTAATTCAACCAATATTCATCCTAAAGAAATCACAATCATTAAATGGGAATTTCATGAATTCTCTACTCATATTACTGTTATGTTATTTTTAATTTTATTAGTTTGTTTAAAATTAGCTTATCATTATATACCGTATATATCAATTTATGTCCCAGAATCCTTATTATTAATATTAATTGGGATTACATTTGGTAGTATTGTATTTTATACAATGGATAACTATACAACTGATAATCCTAATCATAATCATCATACATCAATAGAGAATACTGTATGGAAATTTACACCGGAATTATTTGCTTATTATTTATTACCACCAATTATATTAGAATCTGCATATGGTTTATATAATCGTACATTTTCTGAATATCTTGGTGTTGTATTAATCTTTTCAGTGATAGGTACAATATGTAATTTTTTATTCATTGGTTTCTCATTATATATAATCTATCAATTAAATTTATTAGGTGAACCTATATTACAATTAAATATTAAAGGTTATTTATTATTTAGTTCATTAATTGTTGCTGTAGATCCTGTTGCTGTCTTAGCTATCTTTCAAGATATTGGCGTTGAATTAAGTTTATATTATATTGTATTTGGTGAATCATTATTTAATGATGCTATTACAATTGTATTAAATGATATTATGATTGTATTTAATAGTAATGAACAATTAACAACATTACAAATATTTATTGGATTTATATCGTTTTTTACTGTTAGTTTTGGTGGTCTACTGATTGGTGTTATATTTGGTATCATGACATGTTTAATTACAAGAATACATAGTCATTTATCTGTATTTACAATATTATTATTAGCCTATTTTTCATATATTATAGCTGATTGTATTGGTTGGTCTGGGATTATCTCAATGATTGGTTGTGGTTTAATACAAGCAGCATATGCATTTCATAATATTGGTGAAAAATATGTTAAAAGTTTATTATTAATTACAAGAATGTTAGCTGAAGTTAGTGAAGGTGTAATTTTTTTATTTTTAGGTATACAAGTTATATCTTATAAATTAGAATGGCATACTGGTTTTATATTATGGTCACTTATATTATGTTTATTATCTAGAACTATAATTGTATTTATTATTACAGCAATTGTAAATTATGTTAATATTGATGAGACAAAAATTACAATTGAACAACAAATTATATTAATTTATGGTGGTTTACGTGGTGCTGTAGCATTTGCTCTATCGGTACTTATCCCAGATGATTTATTTCCTATTAATAGTTTATATCATAAAAATGTCATAGTAACAACAACATTATTCATCATTTTATTTACCGTTGGTTTTATGGGTTTAACAACAAAACCATTAGTGAAATTATTAAAAATACGTAAAAAAGATCAAGAAAAATTAAGTTTATTTTATATATTAAATAAAAATATTATTGATCAAACATTAACTGGTATTGAAACATTGATCGGTTCAAAAGGACGTAATGCTATCAGAGAATTTTTTATTAAAATTGATGAAAATTATATTCGACGTATATTACAACGTAATCCAGAACATTATGATGAGAAAATATTAAAAGTATATGAATTAATTGCATTAAAATTATTATATGCATCAACACGTCCTAATGATACTGAGAATTTATTAAAAAATATACCAGAATCATTAAAATTTAATCAATTTCATCAATATTCTAGAAATAATCTATCAAATTTATTAAATCATGGTACAACACATGATTGGATATTACATAATCATTTATCAATTATACCAATTGATGATGATTATGATGGTAACAATAATAACAATAATAACAATGATAATGATGGTGATGATGATGATGACGGTGGTACATTTGGTGAAAGTTCTTTTATATCAGCTGAACAAATGATGAAAATGAATATCAATAAAAAACAATATAGAAAAATTTCAATGAATGCTAATGATATATTAATTGATCATTTATCACGTCATAATAATAATCATCATCATGATTTCTATGCATCAACATCGAAACATAAATGTCAATTAGATTTGAATGAAGCATTTAATGATCTATTACAATATCGTATAGGAGCTATCAAACATCAATTCACATTAAATAACAATAATAATAATAATAATAATAATAATAGTAATATTGAAATGAATATTGATCATCTTAAACATACAACTAAATTAGATCATATAGATCAACAAAAACAATCAATAAAATTAGAACAATCTCAACCAATACAACAAGTAAATATTGAATCAAATAAAACTAAACATACTATTCATAGTAGAATAGATAATAATCAAATAGATTCTTCTTCTGTGGAACAACATATTCAACAATCTTCATATTCATTACAACCTAAAATTATAGATTATCGAAAAAGACAAGATTTTAATAAAGATATTAAATAGTATTATTATCATTATTATTGTATATGGATCAGAATAGTAAGATTCTAACAATTGAGATTATTATTATTATTATTATTATTATTATTATTATTATTAATCCATACTATTACTATTTTGTAACTTGTGTACAGAACATTAGAGAAATAAAGATTTCGTTTTCCTTATTTTACTGTAAATACGAAATGTACGAAATGTATTAAATTGACTTAATAAATGAAGTGTTGTAATTACTAACTCTTCGTGAAGGAATATATTCATTGTGATCTCCTCCTTCTTTGTTTTAAATGATGCTTTGATGATTCTGGATCCATGAGATCCCCATCCTACAAGTACATTTCGTGCTACTTTGGACAATATTAGAGCAACTCCCAGAGTGTGTGGAGCATTTTCCTCTTCATGACCGGAGTATAGTAGCATCTCTCCTGTATTTAGCCTTTGTTGTCTAGCTTGAGTCCATTGGGTTTCACTGATTCCCAGTACTGCCAAGTTGTATCTCCTCATTCCTGTTGCTATTTGACCGGTCTTCCCGGTCTCCCACAGTGTTCGGACGTTCCATGTACCCATAAAGAGTTTTGCTCTGGGTGTTAGAAGGGGCATCAGCTTCGTGGCTTACGAAGGAACTCAGCTTTCACCATGAAGCGTCATAATTCTTCTAAATGAAGACCTTCTAACTCTCAGGGCAGAGTTTAAATGGTTTGAATTATTTTCTTCTGGTAAGCGTTTCATTAGCGAGTTAGTTTTATACGGGATGGGGACGCTAACCTCATGCCCAACACTCCTCCTTTACCCGGGCTTGGGACCGGCAGTAACTCTGGAAGAGCTACAGGAGGAGTCAATACTTTCAGATTTTCCATGATGATATAACTTCCATGAACTCATGATCTCGACTATTGAAAATGAAATATATTGTAAGATGCAACTGTGATGAAGTCAAGAAAATTCTATATATCTGTATATGATTATTGAAGGGTAAAGGTTTGAGTAATCTGACCATTTAATAATACTATCCACTAATATAAAGTACTTCTTCAATATTATCCTATTAAACCAATGAATTCTGCATTAATCAATGATATAATTTGATTGATAATAAGTAACTTTGAATAATATCTTTATTGTTATGGATTCAGAACACAATTCCCTATTAGACTGATAATAAGTTGAAAGTTGAATATAACAAACAGAATTATCGTTTATTGTTGTCAACTAACAGTTATATAATAAATCTTAGAATTTGCATAATAATATGTACTCACTATAGCTTCATTATACAGTAACAAAAAATAGGTTATTACAGAGTATATACGATTACATCATAAATGATAGAGAACAAAACAAGATCTATGACAACAAATAATGATTTAAATGGTAGCTCACAATTACTTACTTACTTACTTACGCCTGTTACTCCCAATGGAGCATAGGCCGCTGACCAGCATTCTCGAACCCACTCTGTCCTGGGCCTTCTTTTCTAGTTCCATCCAATTCTTGTTCATTTTTCTCATGTCTATCTCCATTTCCCGGCATAATGTGTTCTTTGGTCTTCCTCTTTTCCTTTCGCCTTCAGGATTCCATGTGGAGGTTTGCCTTGTGACGCAGTTGGGTGCTTTCCTCAATGTGTGAACTACCCACTTCCAGCCACTCTTCCTGATTTCTTCCTCCGTTGGGATCTGATTTGTTCTCTCCCACAGAACGTTGTTGCTAATAGTGTCCGGCCAATGGATCTGAAGTATTTTGTGTAGACAATTGTTAATAAACACCTGTATTTTCTGGATGATGGCTTTCGTAGTTCTGTATGTTTCTTCCCCATACAGTAGAACTGTCTTGACATTTGTATTGAAAATCCTGACCTTGGTGTTGGTTGACAGTTGCTTTGAGCTCCAGATGTTCTTCAGTTGTAAATATGCTGCTCTTGCTTTGCCGATCCGCGCCTTCACATCTGCATCACATCCACCCTGTTCATCAATGATGCTGCCCAAATATGTAAAGGTTTTTACATCTTCCAAATCTTCTCTGTCAATTGTGATTGGATTGGTGCATGCTGTGTTGTATCGGAGAATCCTGCTTTTCCCTTTGTGTATGTTGAGACCTACTGCTGCTGAGGCTGCTGACACGCTGTTTGTCTTCTCCTGCATCTGTTGTTGCGTGTGGGATAGAAGGGCCAGATCGTCTGCGAAGTCTAGATCATCCAACTGCATCTTAGATGTCCAGTGTATCCCGCGCTTCCCTTCAGACGTTGACGTCTTCATGATCCAGTCGATCACCAGGAGAAAGAGAAAGGGTGAGAGTAAGCAACCTTGCCTAACACCGGTCTTCACTTCGAACGACTTTGTCAACTGTCCTCCATGCACAATTTTGCAGTGTAATCCATCATATGAACTCTGTATGATATTGACTATCTTCTGAGGCACGCCGTAGTGTCGAAGAAGTTTCCATAGTGTTGTTCTGTCCACGCTGTCAAATGCCTTTTCGTAGTCAATGAAGTTGATGTAGAGTGATGAATTCCATTCAATTGATTGTTCCACAATGATCCGTAGAGTTGCGATTTGGTCTGTACACGATCTATCCTTACGGAATCCTGCCTGTTGGTCTCGAAGTTGGGCGTCTACGCAGTCCTTCATCCTGTTTAACAATACCCTGTTGAAGACTTTTCCCGGTATTGAGAGAAGAGTGATGCCCCTGTAGTTATCACACTTGCTGAGATCGCCTTTCTTCGGTATTTTGATCAGAAGTCCTTCTTTCCAGTCTGTTGGTACTTGTTCCTCATCCCAAATCTTATTGAAGAGAATGTGGAGTATCCTTGCAGTTGCCGCTACGTCTGCTTTTAGTGCCTCTGCCGGGATGTTGTCCGGTCCTGCTGCTTTGCCACTCTTGATTTGCCTGATGGCCATGCTGATTTCTTCAATTGTTGGTGAGCCAACATTGATTGGGAGGTCCGTGGGTGCTGCTTCGATGTTGGGTGGGTTCAGTGGCGCTGGTCGATTCAAGAGTTCTTTGAAGTGTTCTATCCACCTGTTTTGTTGCTCTTCAATGTGGGTGATTACCTTGCCTTCCTTGCTTTTCACTGGTCGTTCTGGTTTGCGGCGATTTCCAGAGAGTTTCTTTGTCGTGTCATACAATTGTCTCATGTTTCCTTCTCTTGAAGCCTTTTCCGCCATCGTTGCTAAATCTTCCACATATTTACGTTTGTCGGTTCTGATGCTCCTTTTCACTTGTTTGTTTATTTCCGTGTATTCAGCTTGTGCCTTAGCTTTTTCTGCTCTTGTTCGACTGGTATTGATCGCTGCCTTCTTGTTTCTTCTTTCTTGAATCTTATCCAGTGTATCAACAGTGATCCATTCCTTGTGGTGGTGCTTCTTGTGACCCAGGACCTCATGACATGTTGAAGTGATTGCCTCTTTGATCCCCTTCCAGTTGCTCTCCACAGTAGTTCCTTCTCCATTGAGTAGATCATGAAAGGCCTGGAACTTGTTGCTGAGGACTATCTTGAATTTGTTGAGTTTGTTAGTATCCTGAAGAAAGGCCGTATTGAACTTTTGTGATACTGTCTGCCCCGTTGTCCAGTGCTTCTTGAGTTTCAATTTCATCTTGGCGACCAGTAAGTGATGATCTGATGCTATATCAGCTCCTCTCTTGGTTCTCACGTCCTCTATAGTCCTCCTGAACGTTTTGTTGATGCAAATATGGTCGATTTGGTTTTGTGTAGAGTGATCCGGTGATATCCATGTGGTTTTGTGTATGCGTTTATGTGGGAATACGGTGCCGCCTATGACCAGTTTATTGAAGGCACATAGATTTGCAAATCTCTCACCATTTTCGTTTCTTTCTCCCAGTCCGTGTCGTCCCATGATGTCTTCATATCCAGTGTTGTCCGTTCCAACCTTGGCGTTGAAATCTCCCATCAGAATGGTCAGGTCCTTTGTTTGGCACTTCTCGACGATTGACTGCAGCCTATTGTAGAATTGATCTTTAGCGTCTTCATTGTAGTCGTTGGTAGGCGCATAGCATTGGATGATGTTCATTGAAATGCCCTCTTTCTTTGTTTTGAAGGAGGCTTTGATGATCCTTGGTCCATGAGATTCCCATCCTATAAGTGCATTTTGTGCTTGTTTGGACAGCATCAATGCAACTCCTTGTGTATGTGGTGCATTTTCTTCTTCATGGCCAGAGTATAACAGGAGCTCTCCTGTAGTTAGTCGTTGTTGTCCAACTTGTGTCCAATGTGTTTCACTGATCCCAAGTACCTCTAGGTTGTATCTTCTCATTTCTGCAGCAATTTGGAAGGCTCTTCCGGTGTCCCACATTGTACGAACATTCCATGTACCTAAATAAATGGTTGCTCTGGTTGTCAGAAGGGGCATCGGCCTCGTAACTTCCGAAGGAATTCGGCTTTCATCATGAGGCGTCATAATTCTTCTAAATGAAGACCTTCTGACTCCCAGGGCAGAGTTTAAAAGGTTTGAATAATTTTTTCTGGTTAGCGTTTTTTTAGCGAGTTAGTTTTCTACGGGATGGGGACGCTAACCCCATGCCCAACCCTCCTCCTTTATCCGGGCTTGGGACCGGCAGTAGCCCCCGGAGGGACTCCAGGCGGAGTTAGCTCACAATTAGAGGAATATAAAACATACAATGATCCATTTATTTATTAATTTTATCATAAAAATAGTAAGTAATAATAATATAATAATATATATATATATATATATATATATATATATATATATATATATATATATATATATATATATATATATATATATATATATATATATATATATATATATATATATATATATATATAATATAACATTGAATCATTTCATTATATACTGGAAGATGTATAAACTATTAATTCCATCGAATCTCTTCATTACTTACTTACCTACTTACTTAAGCCTGTTACTCCCAAAGGAGAATAGGCCGCCGACCAGCATTCTCCAACCCAATCTGTCATGGACCTTCCTTTCCACTTATGTCCAACGTTTGTACATTCTTCTCAT